GGGGAAAAAAGGGTTTTTTTATTTACTGTTCCTTTTTTACAGTGAAAGTCACTGCTCTGAACCTTCTGACATTTTTGCTAGCAGTGAAAGGACAAAAATATTTTATTCTACAAATTATATAGTTTTAGCACATGATTTTAAAGAAAAACTAGGTATATAAAAGGAACTTTCAATCATGCTCTCTAGGCAGCTGGAAATTGGTTTGAATGCATGCAGGGTAATGGTCACAGCCATTTACTGAAAACTCCCCAGATATAATCTAACTATAGGCATTGCTTGCTTCAGTTGTGCTTTCACAACAGGAAATGAAAAAGGGTGCATAGTATGTGGTGGGTAAAATTAAAAGGGCTGTACTAAAAAGAATTTGTGCCCACTAGTCAAGTTCTTTTTGGAGCATGTGTTTTTCTCTTATGTGCAAGTGATCAAAGTGCCACCTACAAGTTTATGTGAATGTAAAGGTCTGCCCACTTTAGGGAACATCTGTGTATTACAGCACTTATGCTAAAAATAGTTCTATGCATTGGAATACATAGGTGTTGTGCATTCCTTTGTCACATGTTAATTAAATGGAGAAATGAGATCTGATTCCCAGTCCCAACAGTCATGCCTTCTGCCATGCTATACAGGAAGTTCAAAGGTGGGTGCCAGCAGCTTGACATGTGGGGTGCAGACATGGTCGTGCAAAGCATTGTGAAAAGGGGAAACAGATAGGCTTCCCCCACATGCTAGGTACACACTATAAATGCAATATATTTCATAGTTTTAGGGGCTGGAAGGGACCTTACAGATGATTGGGTCCAGCCCCTTAAGGGGCCTTAGACACGTACATGCGTATGTATAAGGTTAGCTGAAAGCAAGTTGGAATTCAAAAAGATTTGAGCACAAATAAGGCACCCAACTGAGATGGTTGCCAGGCATATTAAGAATATGCCTAATTTATACACCTTGTCATGATACTCTTGAAGTCAGTCTTGCCAGAGTCTGATTGGCTCCTCTGTGCTGAACCTCAGCATAAATATGCATATAAGTATGCTTGTGGTTTCTGATGCACTTATACGCTTTAAGTTGTACTTCCTAATTGCCAGTCCAAGTGCCAATTCTGAAGGAGGCATGGGTTGTTTTTCCATAATGGTAAGTTTGGTTTGACTGCTTGTGGGAGTCTGTTTAGTCTGTCCAGACACGAGACTTTGCTACTGGCTGTATAAGGCTAACCAGTATAACTAACATAATGCATGTGTCCTTGCCTTTCTAATAGAGGCATCTCCTTGAAACGATTTACAACTGCAGTAATTGTTTCTGCAAGCTAAAAGGATGTAGGAAGTATGTCAAGTTCATGCCTTCAGAGTTATAACTAGAGTGACAATGAACTTTTCTAAAGCATTTGAAACTGTCCTTGAAGTCCACAGACATGTAGCAACCATAAGTAATAAAACTATCATATCTCATGCTGAGAGACAGATTATAATATCAATTTATATTTTATGCGTAAAATATAAAGGCAGTTGCCTTTTTTTGTGAGAAATCTCCTATGCAGATGCTTTTTTTCCCAGCAGGGTGAAGAAATCTACCAAAACAGCATAAGTCCAGGAGAGAAAAAATACCTCAGATACCCTTCTTCTGTTGTACTTATAGGGCATGTCCAGATGAGCACACACATGCACTTTGCAGCAGCTCAAAGGCTTTTGAGGTGCTGCAAAATGCACGCAAAAAAGTTTTCCATGCTGCATAGTGGGAAATCCCAGTATCAAAAGAAAAAAAGTCTAAAAAAACCCAGGGTGGTACAAGTGGTACAAGTGGCTGTAGCAGGTGCTGCCTGAAACTGGAGCCTGGTCAACCAGAGCTATTGTCTGGCTGCCAGTCAGGCTCCGTGCACCTGGATCAGCACTGCTGCTGCCCCGAGTGGCTCCCAGGACCCCACGTAAGGCTGCTAGGGCCAGCCCAGGGTGCATCCAGATAAGCATGCACGTGCGTTTTCCTAGGGCGGGGAGGTGGGGGGGGTGGTTTGGAAGGTTTTTTTAGATACTAGGAATTCTTGGTATATAATTTTAACTCCACACTGCAAATATGCAGCATAGAGAACCTTTTCACTTGCACTGTGTGAAAGTGAACCACACATTCCCACTCATGGGGACATGGCCATATTGGCTACCTATGCATCCCTAACCTTCCACATAGCATGTTGGCTGGTGTAAATTCCTACAGAAAGAGGCTACTGCATCACCATGCTATAGAGATCTAGGACATTAATTTAAGGCCAGATACCTTGTGAATCTGGCTCTAAATCCTTAAGGCTCAGATTTTTAAAGGCATGTAGGAGTCTAACTCCTGCTGATTTCTGTAGGAATTGACTTCTTTGAGAGACTGGTGTTGGGTGTAAGCCTATATTTAGCTTTTACCCAGTCCTTAATCAGATCAATTCCTATTGACTGCAATGGGAGTTGTGGCTGAGTAAGGACTGAAGGGTTTCTAACAAATTGCGTAAAAGATGATCAGATATCAGTGTTTGAAATTACTGAGATAGTAGGCAAGTAAGTATACCTGGTAAAATGTTCATGGTTTGCTTCTTTTTGGTTGCTTGAATCTCTCAAACATTTGGCAGGTTTGGCTTTTTAATAGAGTTAATGCAAACCAAAATCGACTTGAACTGAAGTCACCATACAGCTCATGTCAAAAGGCTTGGCTGTCCAAGTTACAGAATATTATGGTCCTCAAGTGTTTAATTGTTTCTATCGGCTCTGGAATTTAAACAGAATTTAGGATGTTTTTGGCAGTAGCTTTTCCTCTATAATCAGGTTGCTATGGTAAACCTATTATTCTAGTCATAGAAAGAATATGTTAGTAAAATGCTTATTTCTTTTTGGTTTTATGTGAGCCTCTAATTACTCTTAAACTATTGAATTTGTACTGCAAATATGGTTATCACAGTAAGTAAAAGAATAAGGTCATAGGGAGTGTGCCTGCTATTATTTTGACAACAGATGCAGTTGATAAAATAATATCTTGACTGAAATTACCTCACTCTGGATTCTGAAAAAATTTTTCTTTTTTTTCCCCCCTTCCCAGAGAGGCATCTTTTATACAGTAACCTGAAATTTAGCTATATGGCATGCTACTAATCTCTGAGTTTGTCTATGTGGAAACACTTAGGAAATTTAAGATGAATTAATGAAAACATGGTATTTAAGCATGCTAGCTCCTTGGATAGACACGCCTCATTCAGAAATGAAAACTGTTTTAGTTTGTGGCCTTGAAGGCCACCTTTACTTCAGGATGAAAATACACGTATGCAGGCTTAATCCACTTTAATTTCTGATATTACATTTTTATATTTAGTAGATTTGGATTATTGCAGTACACTTCTTCCAATTCATCAGCAAAAGAAATTGCTCAAAACACCCTTTCAATTATCCAAACATCGTTTAGATTGTTTAGGATGTGAACTAGAAATTTAAATCAAGCTAATGCTCTATCAGTAGAACATCATAACTAAATTCACTTCAAGTTTTTAAAGTAGAAGAAAAGGAGTTACATGACACAAGATAGTGGAAGTAATTTTTAAAAGAGAAATTTGTGAATGAATTAGCTTGAATAAGACTTTTCTCAGACAGTATGAGATATTTTTAAATATACTCCTAAATATTTCAGAATCAGACAAAAATATGTATATGGTGAGGGGGCAGCAGGGCAGGCCCTATGAGGAGAGACTGAGGGACCTGAACCTGTTCAGCCTCGGCAAGAGGAGGCTGAGGGGGGACCTGGTGGCTGTCTACAAACTCATCAGGGGAGATCATCAGCAAATAGGAAGAGCCCTTTTCTCCCCAGCACCAGCTGGGGTGATGAGGAACAATGGTAATAAGCTGATGGAGAACAGGTTTAGGTTAGAGATCAGAAGGCAATTTTTTACAGTTAGGGTGGCCAAAATCTAGAACCAACTTCCCAGGGAAGTGGTCCTTGCCTCTACCTTGGGCAAATTCAAGAGGAGGTTGGATGATCACCTGTCTGGGGTCTTGTGAACCCAGCATTCATTCCTGCCTGTGGCAGGGGGTCAGGCTAGATGATCTGTTCAGGTCCCTCCTGACCCTAGCTACTATGAAACTATGAATTTGACATGTCACTTTACCTTTAAGAACAGAAAATAGCTCTTAGACAAGATTTTCAAAAGCCTCCAACTGACTTAGGAGGCTCTTTTTCGTTTTCAAAGAGAGCTTAATCAACTAAGTCCCATTGATTTGTAAAGCCAAAAGTATTTTTGAATATGGCCCACTGCCTCCTAAGTCACTTAATTAGTTTTGAAAATTTAACTGTTTTTGGTTTTTGGTACCTGAAGTACCCCCTGCCAATCAATGTGGCAAAAGCAAAACCGGAAATCCCACTGTGGCATTTCTAGTTTTGCTGCAGCGAGCCGAGTCTCACTTTTTCTACTGCTGCCCAGGGCAAAGCAGCTTGCGTGGGTGGGGCCTCCCTCCCTATCCCCTGCCACACTGATGCTGGGGAGTGAAAGCCTTGGCACACCAGACATGGCAGCCAGAACTTCCAGCTCGAGCAGGCAAAGACCAAAGCACAGCATCTGCATATCCCTTGCACATGTCTCGCGTACACCCAGGGTTACACGTACCCCAGGTTGAGAAAACTGCTCTAGTTAGAATTCAGTAGTTAAGAATGATGACTTAGTTCTACACTTTCTTTCAGAAAGAGTAAGGGACATGTACTGGGGAACTTGTCAACCCATGAGTGACTCATTGTCTCAATTAACCCTGGTCAATTTTTCCACTGACCCAAAAAGTCTCACAGAACTATCTATGCATCTATCCTTTGTGCAGAGCATAGCATTTCAGCACTTGCTTAAAAAGTAAAGTATGTGGTTAAATGCTCTGCTAAAGAGAGGTGGACTGTGCTGAAGGGCTTTGCTGAGTTTGCAGGAGCAGACTATTTTTTTTTCTGTCTTTTTGTCCTTAAAATTTTGAGGATGCTGTGGCCCTAACAACTATTTGTTCTTACAGGGAAATGCGAATGTGGCCAATGCACTTGTTTCCCTCCAGGAGACAGCCGAGTTCATGGTAAAACATGTGAATGTGATGATCGACAGTGTGAAGATATGGCTGGCAATGTCTGTGGGGGTATGTATTCATTTTACAAAAGCATTAGGCCATTATGGTCTTGTAACTTTACCTGTATCCCTTGATTTTGATATTTTATATTCTAACAAATATTTCAGATTGTTTATTAATAAGTAGGATACATTAACACTTACAATATACTACAGTATTTACATGCATATGATCAGTATTTATGAGAAAGCAATGCCAAATATTCAAAGAAAAACCTGGATAAAAATAATTTTTCATGTTTTCTCTTTTTATTTAATAACATCTGTCAATTGCCTTGCATATTCCTTTTTATAAGTTAATATAATACAGCTCAGTAGTAACATGTGCTGTCTAATGAGGGTTTTTAAAGTATCTTTATTAAAAAGTTTTATAGTACTGAAAAAATGGCCATTTCACATCTGGTAATACCATCTTGCTCTGCAACCTGGTAAATCCTCATAGAATAAACTGTGTGAACATTAGGATCAGTGATCTCACAAATGTGGGGTTGGTAATTTACTAGGCAGAACTCTTCCCTTAATCAGCACTGACAATGCCCTAAAATGATGTAAAGAGCCACACAAAGACTGGCAGTATCTTATTTTAAATTAGACATAAACAGTAACTGATCACTTGTGGTCTTTCACTCACTTTATAAGAGTAGAAGTTTTATGTACAGATGGTTTTAAGTACATTTTACCACCTATCTTCTTAGTTATCGCCATATCTTCAATTCATGCCGTAAACAGTTATTTATTATTGCATATGTAACAGTTCTTTTATATGGTTGCAACATTGTATAACATCGTTTCAGCATTGCATAAGGTAATAACTTGTTTGGAAGGGACTTTACGACTGTGGGATGAAAGACACTGTTGATTAAGAAGACATAGATTGGCAACAAAAACTGAGAGATTAGAGAATTTTTCCAATTCCTCCAACTGCAAATATATAGTGCATATAAAAATGCACATTTGTATACACGTGAGAGCACATACACCCATACCATGTATGTCCATTATGTATGAAATTTAAATTGCGAAAATATTGGTCTAAAAATCTTTCCTAATTTCACTGATTCACTTAAAATCAACTGTCTGGGAGAGGCAGCAACTTTTCTATTCAGGCAGGGTGGAGACAGTCAATTGACTTCATGAATCATTACCATCTCTTTGATTCCTGTTATTCTCTCTCCACTCCACAGGTGTTAACAACCCTGTATTCTTTTTTCATGATTGCTGATGCTTCACTTTTCAAACTATCCTTTCTTCTGCAATTTTGCTGATGGTCAGCCATTCCTGGCAATCTCTCTTTTTTGTTTTATAGCTCTGTAGACTGATTTTTAGCTCTAGATAAAAACAGGTTGACCACAGTTATTTTAGGGAAATCTGGAATGGCAGGGGAGAGTGGGTGGCAGGAGATGCATGCCTTCTCCCCCTCCCCGCATACAAACACACACACAAATGTGCTTCGGGGCAGTGTGGCAGTGGGCAGAGCTGGAGCAGGTGTTAGGAGTGTGGTGCCATGCATCCCAACAGCTGCTCTGGCCCTGCCCACTGCTGCACACTCGCATACTTCAGCCCGTGGCTCCCAAGAGTGGGGCCAGGTGGGACAACATGGCATGCATGCTTGCGCACATGTGCGTGCACGCACGCACGCATGCACACACGCATGCACACCACTTATCCTGTGACTCCAAGGTTTCTGCCAATACAAGACTTTTGCTTAAATTTTCTCCAATGGCTGGGAGTCTGAGGCAGCTTATAAAATCTGGGACTTTCCCAGCCAATTTGGGACATATGGTCCCCCAGCTAAAATCCTTAACTCAGGTGTAGACATGGCTGACAGTGAAGTAATGGAGGTACTGTGAAGACACTCAAGAAGGCTATATTTTGTTTTATAAATCTGAATCAGAGCTGTACATTTAATAGTAATGACTATGGGGCTAATGATACAACAAGCTTTGAGTATTTTTGCCTAGTTTGTTGTGTTTTTAAAAACATTAAGTATACTCTAGCAAATCAGTGTACATTCCAGTAGCTATCTGTGTTTTTTCTTTGATCTTAAACTGAATAATATAGTGCTATCCCCCTACCATATTTGTAAAGTTTCTAGTTTTTCTTTAACTGGAGACACATTTTCTTTAACTGGACACACATTTGTACATATGTGATGATGTACAAAACCATCTGCACCCCACTTTTCAAAATCCTTGATCTGCCCAAGGTTGCTACTAATAATATGTTAATGGAATGCCTTCAGAATTATCAGCAAACACTATCAAATTTCCTTATTAGTTATAATACAATTATGATCACTTTTTTCTTTTGTCTGGAGAACCTTACATTTTTGTTTTAAATAATCATAGGATGAGAGAAGAGTAATCAACAACCAGGGCTAAAAAGGAGTCACTTGGCTGTTGCTGGGATGCAAGGGATTTCATTATCTGAACATTTCCTCATCTTCTACCTAGCATGCTATAAAGTGGAAACCAGAGATAAATCCAGCCATTAAACAATTTGTATTTGACTTATATTCTCCTGTGGAAAAAGAGTTAAAATATATTACTCATGAAAATATAATAAAAAACAGAGATTAATTGAAATCTTAGCTTAACTTTTCTATGGTTTTATTATTATTTTAACTTGGGACTTAATTACTAATGTTTATCTACAAGTGAGTAAGATTTACTGCTAAGGATCATTGTGAGTGTGAGTAGACCAAAATAATTGTGTGTGCACACTCCAATATGTTCCTTTGGAACTACAGACATTTTTTTCCCTTGGCGAGGATGACTCGGCTCAGCTCTAGAGAATAAGAAAATATTTTTGTCTGTCAAAGAGAATCTTTTTCTAGCTTTTGCTGCTCTTAATGTCATTTCTGTATCATTGGAACTAGCTGAGATTCTGCTGAAGCATTCCCTAAGAAGAACCTCCTATATGTTTATCTGACAAGATCCGGGTTAGATCTTTAACATCATTATCAATTGGCACATAATGAATTCTACTTTCCTCAAGTCTTGTTTCATACTCTCTGCTTGTTTGATTTCTCTGTCATCTACCATCAGTTTTAATTTTCTTTTTTAAACTTGTTCAGGCACATTTAACTCTTTTTCTTTAAATTCACTTATTTTTCTTTCTTTTTACTCTTTCTCTGGGAATAAAGAACATCTAGGTCAAATATGATCACCCCAGAAATGAAAGACCTGAGAAATAATGTCCATTTGTCTGCTCCAATAGAGGCAAGGTGGCACTTGATTTTCTTTTGAATGGACCTATACCTTCTTGAGAGCCAAGAATACATCAGGGAAAGGCTAGAAGGAGAGGGCAAAGTGGTAGTCAGACACAACTAATTTTGTCAACAATGGCTTAAAGGTAGGATTGAAAATTGCAAGACAGACATAGCTGTATTAATTTTGCTGGGGCTTATTTACCCTAAAAATGTATTTACATTTAAGATGTTTTTCTCAACTCTTGTGGGATTTAAAAAAAAAAATTGGATAGATGTGGATTCATTAATCTGGTGTCAAAAAACCTGCCATGCTGCAAATTAGCAGCACTTTCAATGCCTGCATGTGCAGCACATGCGGTTTGCAGTGCCACAGATGGGTCTGCAGCGCTGCATGCTTGTCTGGACGTGCCCCTGAAGATGACAGGGAAAGAAGCAAGATCTCTATGATTCCCCCCCCCCCCCCCCCCCCCACCCAAACAAACCACCCCCCGTTGTAAAAAAACCCCCAACCGTT